CTGTGTTATACCATCCATACACTGTATGAAAGATGAATGAATTACCAGTCATTAGCCATTGAGCATTTCATGGAGTATCATCTTTTCTGAATTTTAGAATGACCAAAACGTGCAAAACAGACTTAACGTTTAACTCTGCATCATTCCAATTGAGTGACTGAGAATAAACTCATAAGAGTTTGTGTCCGTTTTCACCATAGACTTCAACAGGAAGAGAGCTCTTTATCCAATCACACATTTTGCCCTCTAGTGTCCATTAAAAATAATGGAGGCATAAACCAACTCCATTTGGGGTTCACTTTCTGACACACAAGCCGTGTTTGACTTTTACACTGTCATGGTGCCACCATAATAAGTGTAGTTGAAGCGTGGCACAATTAACACGCAAGGTTAAATACATATCTTAAGACACGTTAACACGGCTCATCTTTCATTTCTTATACAGCAGGAATTAAAAATTGAATTATAAACCATAGAAAACTGTAAATGAGACTGTGTAGAACAGATGCTAGGAGATTTAATTATCCCCTTGCTACTGTGCAGTGAGGGAGGAAAGAAAAACTCAGTCAACAGACATCAGTCTCAGTAAATGTTAAACTTCCCTTAAAGCCAGCTGCTTACAGGATTCAGCTTCTGCAAAACTCTTTGTAAATTATATGTGGGAAAAATAGAGATTATACAGGAGACAAAAGAGAGAGAGGCTATGGCAATGTTTGTCTGCCAGTCGGTCAAACAGTTTGGTTCATACTGAATCTCTCAACTCTTTGACGAGCTGGTGTGACAATGGTTATGCCTTGAAAAACAACAACAAAAACAACAAAAACGGGAAAAAAGCCAACATAGCAAAACAAAAATAGCATCTTTCAATTACATTTTTTCAACATGACGTTACACAATATTAAGACGAGAAAAGGCTCAGAAAACAGGACACAGATTTAATTCTGTAGGAAACAATTTACATTAAAAATATTTACACCACTTTTTGTCATCCACCCACCCTGATTAAAAATACAAGCCCGACTTTTAATTTTTCTGTGCTCAAACTTCCACTCCAGCAGCAGTAATTACACAAAAGAGGAAACAAAACCACCAAAGCACAATATACATCCAAACAGGCACAGCAGAACAGTGGCAACAGTAGTGTACATTCAAATATGTGGGTCAGTATGGCTCTCTGGTGGATGAAGCTTATTAACATGATGTTTGAGCGGACCCATTATGCTAATTTCTAGCTCCATATCTTTACTCTTGGACTCTACTGGAGTCCCTTTGTTGTTCACAGTTAAAAATAATGTTCATTTATCTTTTGCTTCGCACTCTAAAACAACTTGTTTTGATTCCTTTCCTTCTCCTTTTAAATAACCTTCCTTGATTGTTTTATTTGCATGTAACAACCAAAGTCTGAAAGGCAGGTATGCAGGGCTTCTGTGGTCATAACGATAGATGGAGATAATTAGCCTCAGCCTAAGCGCATTATTTGAAAATTTGGCCATATTTAATATGTGATTAAAGACATTAAATTGATTTTCCTAACACTTGTTGCGCATAGTTTTTTTTTTTTTTTTTTTTTTAAATCCTTACCAAAGTCCTTTAGTCCTTACTAAGATAATTTAGTCCTGTATGTGCTGAAGAAGGTTGCCCAGGGAGAGGGAGGTCCAGGCTTTTCTGCTTAGGCTGCTGCCCAGGTGACCCCGATTTGGGTAAGAGGCAGAAAATGGATGGATTTTAAAAATAATTTTGTTTTGCCGTCAGATGTGGAATACTCATTTCTGCTCTGCCCAGATCAACTTTGCAAAACCCATAACATTGCTGAAGGGTGTTTCTTCCAACTCTGCTTTTAAATTTTCATTTGTGGCCATTTTAAATGTCAAAATCAACATATCGATAAATGGCTAATATTGGCCATCAGTCAAGACTGATGATTTCGTTGGGACCGATATATATTGATCAAAGTCTAACTGTAACAGTATATGTCAAAACATAAAGAAAAGCAACATAGGACCACTTTACAAGTGGGCCTTGACATTTCATCTAGTTCAAAAACAGATACAAATCAGAAGCAGTCTGTGATCAACTATCTTTAAAGCAGTGCTTACAGTGCACTGGATCAGTCTATGAAATAGATTTTTTCCTATCATTACCATAAGGAAAACAGGCATCCCATATGGCCCAATATAGGCATATGATAGATCTGACATCTCATGATCAATAAACAAAAACTGAATCAATCATCATAAATTAGAATAAATCACATATTTAAAAAAAACTGTTAAACAAAAATCACAAATCATAATTTATTTTAATGTTCAGAGTACAGAATAAAAACTACATTGCACAAACTTTTGAGAAATTAAAAGGTCAAGGAAACTGGCAAACAATCATACCCAGGACAAATTAATATACTTTCACTAAAATCTGACCAGAAGGAGTAGTGATTCGTGTAAAAATTTAAAAGTGGTCATTAAATGACCAATATGCCCTCAGTCTGGTTTCATGGTGTGCAAGTTTCACTAAAATATGACCAATATTCTTGGAGTAGTGATTCTTGTGAATTGTGGACAGATGGACGGAAGACACGTTGCCATCAGTACCTTGGATAGACGAGTTTTAAAAAATACAAATCTTAAACATGTCATTAGAACATTAGAATGGCCAGCTATTTGTTGTATTAGCCCAGTAAAAGGAAACCATAATGACCGATCACATTTACCACATATTTTTAACATTTGTTTTTGACGAATAGGCCATTTTACACTCCTGTTGGCAAAGAGTCCCTGAGCCATGTCAAACCCACGTGTATATGGACTATCCCTCATAGCTTCAGTCTCTTCACTGTCAAGCATTAAACAGATTTTTTTTTCCTGCAAGCTTTTTGTCAGACTAGTATCTCCGTCTATTTCCACCATAAAACTTGAGTATTTGACAGAGTCCCAGGGAAGACGTCAGGAGATAGTAGGAAGTCATTTGCATTCATAAAGAATGTATTTCGGTGGCAATGCAGCATGGGCTTCAGAAACTCTTAAAGACTTTCTATAAATACATCATTGCCAATTTACATGGGTCTTACAAGAATCTCCACGACTGCTGTGGTACCAAAACGGAACAAATTTAAAGTGACCATGAAAGCAGATTGATTTGAGTCAGTTTCAGCCAGTTTTGCCTCTGAGGGAAGTCTGCAAAATCTGGCTGTGACATTTGGCTTTGTGAACAAATATCCTGAATGAAAGACTTTTGAATCCTCTCCACAGTCAGAGTTGAGGGAGATACGCTGTCGCCTATTGAACCCAGCACAAATTTGTTAATTAAACTCTCAAACCCATAAGCCACAATTTCAGCCTACACAGTACTAAACTAGGGGAAGGTGGTCCAAATACAAGTAGAGTAATGCCTTTGTTTTCTGGCCCACATGAAGCTCAGAATGGCACTGAAAAATACAGATTTACAAAATGTTTAGTCAAGGGAAATAAAGCATATCTGATGGAGTGGCTTTTACTTTAGCTGATAACAGAACAGAACTAAAAAGGAACACATTTCTAGATAAAAACAACCAAACAATGAGCTCCTGATCATCTGATACAGAGCTGTTTGCAGAGGTTGCAGGTGAGTGCCACCGCTGTAATGAAGAGAATACCTGCTTCCTCTTATAACGAGAATTTGTCGCATTAGAAACTCACCAGCCAAAACACTGCAGTACAAGAATGTGTTGTACTGGTACTCCATACAGAAACAGTATGATGTTTTATTGAATCCAAGTGCTCTAGCCCTTGAATATAACATGACCTCCTTGTTTCCAAATCTAATTTACAGTGAAAAATGATATCAGGGCCAAATACTGGATACTGGAATGATAATGTTAGTAGGTTTGTTTGCATCTAAACTTAAAGTGACTACCAGCTTAAAACTGTATGGCAACCATAGAAATTTCCCTTTATGGAATATATTGTGCTTAACAAGTCTATTAAACAATCACTGAGTGTTTATTCCACAGCTTCCCTAAATTACCCACATTGGTAATTAGTCATTTTTATGCCTTTTAACCAATATGTTTTTAATGCTGCAAATGCAAATATATACGTATATATTTATATATATTAATTTAAGAAGCCAAATTCCATTTATTTGCATTACTGAACACAAAAAATAGATTATGTGATTGAACATTATGCTTAAATTCTGACTTCCTTCAAGTCCAGTTTGCCAGCTCAGATTTGGGTATAAAAATAAGAATTTTGTTCAAGCTTTTCAACGATTTCTTAAATATTTGTGTTTTCTTCTTTTTGTGACAGGCTAATAAATTTGTTAAGCACTGCAAGTGCAAATATATTCAATATCACAATAATATATCTATAATAATAATAATAATAATAATAAATGACTGCATCTCCCTAAGCCCGCTTGTGTCCATCTCCCCTTCTCAAAAAAAGTGAGTTCTTCCTTCCCCCTGTGGCCAAGGGCTTACTAATAGGGGTTCTCTATCAAACAGTTTAGCATCTTCACTTTGAAACATAAAGTGCCTAAATATACAGTAAGCATTAAACTTCCTGCCAAATACTGGCTGATCTGCTAACATAGCTTCAAGGGGGGCAATTGACACTTTGTGTATTTATTTATTAATGGGGGGGGGGGGGGGGGGGGGGGGGGGGGGGTTATATTCCAGGCCATGACTCCATGATCTAATTGCAGGTCACTGATGACACCTTTTTTTTGTAAAGTACACAAGAAGCTCAAATGAGTGGTGGTTACAGTATTGCATTTTAGTAAGTGCATTCAACCAAAGTTTGATCAAACACGTACTCTGAAAGAACAAAGACTGCAAAGCTTCTTGTGCCAAGATTATTATTCAAGACTTATTACATCGTTATTACATCTGTAGAGCCAGTTTACTGGCACACAGGTAACACCTAAAGAACCACGACTGCTTTAATGCTACACAAAAAAGGTAAAGATCGTAAACAACAGCCACATTTTTCTTTACAAACACAGATATGGCTGTTCAGGAATTTAATTCATTTAACTCTTTATTTTGCAGAATCATGTAAATCACAGCTAAAAAGTGTAAAAGTGATATAGAAGAAGACAAAAAACAAAAAAGAGCAATGAAAAGTAACAGAGGTCAACAGCTGGAAGCTGCACAGCATGAGGGTGTAAAAATCGGTATTTGTCCTATTATTTTACTTGAAGACTTTTTTTTAAATCAAAGACATAAATGTTCAGTATTAGGAAAGCTCTGATTTCCTCTGCAGCTAGGCACTGACTTGTGACCTGGAACTGATCCCCTGTGTGCTGCAGTAGCCCATAGCTCCCACACACAGGGGTATAGGGCCACACGGAGTAACAAAATCCTGAGGGGTTTTTGACTTGTGTCATTTTTATATGTGAATAAGTGCCAGTGTAAAGATAACTATGCGTCACACCACACTCACACACTAGAGCCAAACGTTTAAATATAAAATTCAGCTGAACGTGCTCAAAACATTTCAATCACTGCCCTTCAAGCATGAGAGTCAACAGACACCTAAACAGCCAGGACTCCTCAACATGTAGGACTAATGAGAGTTTTTGAACTCACATAGCAAAAATGAACAAACAAGAAGATTCTCAGTCACCCAAGTACTAAATAAAAGTGTTCCCAGTAGCTTGATCTGAGTTTTAAAAAGTTGTTGTTGTTTTTTTTACATTAGAGACCAGCTCTGTCACTAACCTTTTCCTTAGGAAAAAATAACAAAACCCCCCAAAACAAATTAAACTCCTTTACATATCAGGCAGACAGCACAGATCTGCTTTCACACAGCAGTTCAGCTTGGACGGAGACTTAGAGATGCACCTGACTCCACGGGCCTGATTTTCACTGATGTCTCCAGTGTATTCACTTAGGTGGAGAGGGCCATATGGGGAGAGGATGAGCTTCTGTGTTAAAGACATACTTGTCTAGACTGAGAAGCTCCATGTCATCAGAGAAGAGCAGATAGAAGTACTTCAATGTCTCTCCCAAGAAGAAACTCTCCATCTTGTCCCGGGGCCCGGTGCTAAGTGGGTCGCGGACGTTGTTAATGGATGTGTAGCCACCACCAGAGACCTGCAACAATAGAGGCACCTAATCAGAAAGGTAATTTCCCCATTGGGAAGCAGAAAATATATCATAATGCAAATTAAACTTTTCCAATGCTGCCCAAAGTTTTACACATGAAAAACAATCAGCTTTCCGTGCATGCACTGTGAAGCCACAAGAGAGGGAGACATTGAACTGTGGTCTTTTCTTTTCTCCATCAGTAATCAGTCTGCACTGCTTTACTTTTTATTTTTGTAAGTTGAAATAAGTGTGTGAACCTAATCATTTTCTTTTATGATCAAAAACTTAAGAAAACTGCAACTGGACTGGACTTTTAAATGATTAAAGCCAATGTTCAAAGTACAAATTTACCCCCCCCAAAAAATCAGATTCATTTACTGGCTAGTAATGAAAACGCATAATATGATCCATATTCAGCTGTCTGTACCTTTGTGTACTTATTGAAACTCTGCAGCATGTCCCATCCCCAGTCTCTGTACTTGGCATCTTTGGTGAATCTGTACATGTAGAAGAGACTTTCCACAGTTTCTGGTCTCAGCAGGTTGTGTCTGTCTGCAGGCTGAAGTGTACAGGAGAAGTTGTCAGAACATTGTACAATAAAAACAACAACAAAAAAGATGACATAAAGATCAGTGTTTCAGCTTGACCCTTAATACAACCAGTCAGTCCCACAGAAAATGAAAAATACCATTTTGATGACATCTTATAAGAGCAGCAAGGCTACAGTTAAGATTAAATACAAGCTAAGAGCAGGGAGGATCAAAACTCAGTGACTGCACAACAGACATCTGGACAGCAATGAAGTCCGACTCTGTAAACCCCAAGCTTCTCTGTATTATTATACTACTTTCTACCTTATAGTACCTACACAAAATACCTAGACTGAGCGTGTTTAATGTCAAAATCATGTCTAAAAGCAACTTGTGTCCAGAAACGTCAGGTGCACACTCACACAATGTGTAAAATCCTTGAGAATTTCAAACGCCTTCCTTAGTTTTTATAACAGAATTTAAATGAGCTCCTGAAATGTTTCAGAACCGTATTTTAATATTCATAGAAGTGGCAGAGCAGAGAACAGTAACCATATAAACCTACAAGCTGTTAATGAAAAATGAAATGAGCTTTGAGGAGGGTTAAGGAGGGTACAGTCATGACTTTGACAACAAACATAAACTCACTGATTAAAATTTCCCTCAAAAGGGTCAAGAACTCTCAGTGGGTGTGCTTTACTCTCGGTTATTGCAGCTCGTTAAATATTGTGCTTTTAATACAAAGAAATAACAAAGACTGTTTCGCAATGCAGATCTATAAATTCAAATAAATAAAGACGTTTAAATCAGCGGTCCCCAACCTTTTTTGCGCCACCGACCGGTTTATGCCCGACAATATTTTCACGGACCGGCCTTCAAGGTGTCGCAGATAAATACAACAAAATAAAACTAGTACGTGTACCGAAAAAAGATTTATTCATAACACACGTGAAAAGACTCAGGAAAACCGAGTTAACGATAAAAACGATAACAAAATAACGCTGAAAACCGATAAAACCCCTGAAAACCATACATTTCACACCTGAGCCTCAACTCTCACGGCCCGGTACCAAATGACTCACGGACCGGTACGAGGCCCGGGGGTTGGGGGCCGCTGGTTTAAATCATATGTGGTTGTAGAGAGTTCTAAAATGTTCACCAAGCAAAACCTTTGTGCTGGTCAACATCACTTTTTCCCAGCTGCACGATCACAGGGGGTGAAGGGGAGGTCAAAATCTACACTCACTAGCAGCCGCTTCTTAGCTGCTTGTGTCTGTGCTGGACTACAAGAGAGTAAATACAGCTGTTCTCTGAGTATCCAGCCTACATAAACTACAAGATTAACATGAAAAATAATGCTTGGAGGAAGTGTTTGATTGCTTTTGGTCTACTAGGTAAACATCAGTCAGCGAGATCCAGCAACCAGATATCATAGCATAGTGCCCTACATCTCCATACCACATTTAAGCATTCCCACTCTGGTGGGACACACCTCCATACAGTAACAGTAAGTAATAATTACATACAAGCCACACTGAAAATTAGGGAATACAAAAACCAAAAGACACTTCTACATGTGATTAATGTAATAATACATTTAACAATAATAGTAAAATAAGACATAAGATGATCAATAAGAAGGGAGAAGGGAGCCGGAGATCGACAGACGGATTGGGGCTGCAGCTGCAGTGATGCTCCCTCTTCACCACGAGGTGGTGAAGAGGGAGCTGAGTGTATAAGCGAAGCTCTCAATTTACCGGTCGATCTACGTCCCTCCCTCACCTATGGCCACGAGCTGTGGGTAGTGACCGAAAGAACGAGATCGCGGATACAAGCGGCAGAAATGAGCTTCCTCCGAAGGGTGGCTGGCCTCTCCCTTAGAGATAGGGTGAGAAGTTCAGCCATCCAGGAGGGGCTCAGAGTAGAGCAGCTGCTGCTCCACATCGAAAGGAGCCAGCTGAGGTGGTTCGGGCATCTGACAAGGATGCCCCCTGGGCGCCTCCTGGGTGAGGTGTTCCAGGCATGTCCCACTGGGAGGAGGCCCTGGGGCAGACCCAGGACACGCTGGAGAGATTATATCTCTCAGCTGGCCTGGGAACGCCTTGGTGTTCCCCCGGATAAGCTGGAGGAGGTGGCTGGGGAGAGGGAGGTCTGGGCCTCTTTACTTAGGCTGCTGCCCCCGCGACCCGGCCTCGGATAAAGCGGATGAAGATGGATGGATGGATGGATGATCAATAAGTTGAGTCTCACCTTCACAATAACATCACTCCCATCACTGGCCTGCAGGCTGAAGTGTGCGATCTCTGGGCTCAGTCCAGTCTCCATCTGCTTGTACATCTGGTGACAGGTCTCCATCAGCTGCACAGCCAGATCCATATGATCCCCTGGGAGGCCGTTGTGGGCCCCAAGAGCAAGAGTCCCTGGCAGGAAACATACCAGGTGATCCTGCAGAGTGAGAGATACAGTCCACAAAGAAGAGGCTGAGAAACAATGATAGATTAATGATAGCCAAAAATCGACCAGCTAATGAGTGTCATGGGACTTTTTATTGATACAGATTTAGCTCAAGCACAACGGGTGATTGATTTAACAAGGCAGTTTGTCTATGGTTGACTGACGATGGCATTATAAAAAATAACCCCGAACAAACAAGCGCATTGGATTCAAGACCACCTTATCTTGTCAATGACTCTGAATAAGTATCTCTACCATCTTAGGATTGAAGCGGTTGTGGGACAACTCTCCGACAAAGGTCAACTTGCTGGGTCCCGTCTGTCTCACCAGGTGTTTTTTCACTCCCTCTATGGCCTCAAGGTAGTCCTCCAACAGACTGAACAAAGCATACACATAAAGAGGAAAATTAGCAACATACATAACTAGAGATGGACCGATCCGATATTACGTATCGGTCCGATATTGACGTAAATTACTGGATCGGATATCGGAGAGAAATAAAAAAAAATGTAATCCGATCCATTAAATATATAAAATAAAAAAAAAAAGCACCTCACAAAACTTGCGACACGGCGTAACTCGGCTCATAACCGTAGCACGTCGGAGCAGTGTGCTCACGTGATAGAGCGGCTGTGTGTTTTTGAAGCCTGCTACCAAACCAGCATTTCATCTCTGAGAAAGTTATCCCAGAGAGAAGTAAAGCAAGTGTGTAAGTTCATCTCTGAATGTTTGTAAAGCATTCCCGCGTTAAGCTTAGCAACCAATACCTGGAGCGACTGCCTCTTCTTGCTGCTACTTCAATCTGAAACTGGTTAATGATCAGCTGATCGGCTTTTCTGTCGCGACTCGCGAGTCCGTCTCTCTTGTTTGTTTATTGCCCACTTTGCGCCAGAAAGAGGAAACCAGCGGCTGAACAACAGCAGCACGTTTAAGCTTGATAAGCTGTTGTTAGAATTTATTTAGTATTACTTTCTACACCAGGATCCTTTTCTATGCAGCTGACGGCTGGTAACTGCAGGGGCGGATCTAGCAAAGTTTAGCCAGGGGGGCCGATAGGGCATGAACGGGGAAAAGGGGGCACAAAGACATACTTTTCTTTCTTATTCTCATTTAAAATGTCGAGCTTTTAATCAATAATTATCTGAATCTTACAACCAAAGTCCATTACTGTATATAGTAACTGTTAAGTCTAATATGCCCTAGTAAGCTATATTACTTTTTCCTTTGGGAAGGTACCATCTGTGCAGTCTGCAGTTCTGTTGAAGGAAGATGTTGAATCTATTTAATTATTTAAAAAAATATTTTATTTCTGTGCATTTTTTTCCCACACTGCATCAAATTAAATGGCCTGTATTTGTATAGCGCTTTACTAGTCCCTAAGGACCCCAAAGCGCTTTACACTACAATCAGTCATTCACACATTCACACACTGGTGAAGGCAAGCTACATTGTAGCCACAGCTGCCCTGGGGCGCACTGACAGAGGCAAGGCTGCCGGACACTTGCGCCACCGGGCCCTCTGACCACCACCAGTAGGCAAACATGGGGTTAGTATCTTGCCCAAGGATATTTGGCATGCAGCCAGGAGGCATCCTGGGATCGAACCACCGACCTTCTGATTAGTGGCTGACCTGCTCTGCCACCTGAGCTACAGGTGGCAGAGCAGTTGATTACAAAGTTGATTACGTCGATTAAGCATCATGAGGTGGAGGTTGGGGGTGGTTCCCTTTTTTTTTTTTTTTTTTGCTGGGAGTTGGAACCCTATTAGTTAGGTTGCTTAAGATTTCTGCTAAGTACTCTTTAAAATACCAGAATAGGAAGAATGGAGTAGGTTTAAGTTTATTAGATTGATCAGTATTGCTGAACTATGAAATATTTTGGGTGCAGTGTATTTTTTTACATACAGGTATAACAGAATAGCTTTAGTGTTGTTGTTTATTTAAACTTGAGTATGAACTTATACAAAATGCAGCAAGATATTAAAAAAACATTTTATTGATTAAAAAAACCCACTATATTGGATTCATATCGGTATCAGCACATATCCAAATTTATGATATCGTATCGGTCATAACAAAGTGGTATCGTGCCATCTCTATACATAACAGACATTATCATATGATTAGTCAGTCTGCAGTAATGTGGTTTGGGACACTGTAATACTCACTTGATAAAGTGCACTAACTTTTGTTGCCAACATAAAACACAGTTCAAAAATCTCAACTGATCATGACAAAACCAAAATATAAAGCCAGAGTCACAAAGGCGAGAAGAACAAGAAGTTCAGCAACAGACTGTCTGCTGCCACCCAAGAGCTTTGATCTTGACATCACAAATCTATTCAGAGCATGTGGTATCCATTCACAAATGAGTTAAAGTCAAACTGTACTTTAAAAGCTCAGCAAGATTTCTGCATGTGTTCAAAATATTTTGCTCTTCAAAACATGTTGTGGAAATTTGTGTTTCTTGATGTTTTTGTTTTTTGATGGGTTTTTTTAGGAATCTTGTATATCCTAGCTATGAGTCTGACTGAAAACGAGGACAATCAACATCTTTCTAAGATTAGTTAGCAAACTGCTTGTAAATCTCAAGTTTATTACATTGCAACACTTCCTGTTCATCTGTTAGACACACCCTTTTGATCTTTAAGGCCCTTATACCTTTTAAATACTACACGGAAAACAAAAGGATCGAGTACAGTTCATCTTAGGTGAGACACACATAGACTGATGAAGGTTTATTACATTTTTTAGTTCTGCAGTTGAAGCTTTAGCAGTCTGGCACTTTCCCACAGAATCATGGAAAAACAATGGCAAACTGAAAAGCTGTACTCACTTGTCTTCTGTTTTGCCTCCCTGAATCCACTGTTTGAGCAGGTATTCATAGTAGCTGTCTGCCCGGGCACCAAGTGTGAAGACTCCTTTGTGGGTGAACTGGCCGTTGTTGGTATTGATGAACATGGGCACCAGTCCGTCATGTTTGCCGGGCAGTTTGTGGACCAGCGTCATTACCTCATTCACAGCCTCCTGGAGAGACAAAAGCGAGGAATGGGACTAATGAGATGACATGAAACCAACAGCCTCTGTTCACTTACTGCTCATGTTTTGGTTCATGTTTCATTTTTTGCACTTTAAGGCTCATCAAAAGCTGGCACACACGTCTGTCTCTGGATGTGACAGAAACTATTTAAGTTCATGTCAGACCGGGCTGAACTTCTTTAGGCATAAATTTATGCTTGTCACTTCAATCCCCAGAGAACGAGTGATGGGTACACAACGTCAGATTTTAACTGAACTGAAACACATCATCTTACCACATTAATTGTTTATTTGTCACTCCATCACAAAAATACAGATTACAATACATTTTACTGTAGTGCAGAGCTTTGTGGTGTCCTAACCTGATACTGTGGGTCCTGAGTGAGGCGGCTCAGCTCTCTGAATTCCAGCTGAATGCTTGTGACTTCAGCGAGCGTACTGTCTGATGTCCATCTGGGAGGATGTGCTGTTCCCTTTCCAATGTTGACATCTGAGAAGGGAATCTTTGAAGGTGTTTTGAAGGCAGGCATCAATCTGGAGCCAATGTCTTTCTTTAAGTGTAGAGAAGAGACTGAATTAAAGAGGAAGTCACCACGTACGTGTTCTAAGATTAAAGCATTATTGAATTTATTTGAAAAAAATGAAGCTGATGAATTCTAAGTACAGCAAACCATTGTGATGATCAATTTTACTAGATAAACATAAATTATAAATATAGAAAAAAATAAGATTAACCTTATAAACACTATACTCTAGTTTATAGAAATGGTACATGCATGTTCTAATGGGTTCAATTTATTTCACAGCCCTAATTCACGTAACAAGCGAGACGATTTTTGTTATAGGACAACTTACAGCTTTTTCCAAGAAAAGCTGGTCTCCTGTTAGATGGTAAGTGCTCAGCAGCCCCCCCAGGATACGTATGGTTGTTTCAAATAAATTCACATCCACATTCTTGTTAAAGGACAGATCTTTCTCCACCCAGGTCTTTGCTTCTGCAAATTCTGTGCCAAGAAAGGTAAATTACAGTGTGATAAAGAGATACAGGACACAAAAAAAAAAAGTCTGTACATCTGTATGGCCGAGTTTTACTTCAAGTAACACAATCGAGTGGTGTAGTTACAGAGCACACCCAACCCTGTCAGACGAGACTTAGCTGGTCTGACAGGGTGAAGATTACTCCGTGAAAAAAGTCAGTTTTCAAAATTTGTTTTATTGCTATTATTATTATTACTATTATTACTATTATTACTATTATTATTATTATTATTATTATAGATCATACTCCTCCTGCCACATTACTATTCATGGACCATGGATGGGTGATGCAAGCAACAAGTAATGTCTCTAATTATGCTTGAAGGCTAGCAGCTGCTACAACGATGGACCTCTACATCTCCTTGGTGGATTTTTTTTCTTGCATAGAGAAATTTTTGGTTAGTCAAAGTAAAATCAGCAGCACTATAACACAATTATTTTATTTCAAACTAGTCTTGTTAATTGGGGGGGGGGGGGTGTCATATGTTCAAGTATAAGCACAATTTCATGGTTTTAGCATAAATAACAAATAACAATAATTTTGTGCAATATCCTACACGGATATCGCGTTTGGTATCAGTTTAGAGACAATTTCAATGATGTCAAGCCCCCCAAAAAACGTCAAACCCAAAAGCCAAAACAAACAAACAAACAAAAAAAAAACCTAAAACAAGTAATAATATAAATAATACCTTCTTTTAGGCCCATAATCCACATGGTGTCCAAAGCATCAATCAGCGTCAGACCCAGTCCAAACCATTCACCAAAAGATTTGGAGATGGGCTTGAGTTCATCGTGACCCCAGGCGTAGTCCTTGTAGCCTTTCCAAGCATGTCTGAAGGCATCGCACACTGCCTCCAGTCGCACTCTAGTTTCAGGTGAAACTACAAGCAAAGGAATAACAATGAATAATTAAAGTGTAAACTTACATCTGTGTCTCCTGCTGGAAGCTCTTTGAACAGCATACTTCTTATTCTTATTATTTGGAGTAGAAAGAGTAGAAATTAAGTAGAAATTCTGTGTCATGTGTTGATGCTTTGAGCACAGCAGGTCTTCATGGTGTGAGTTGGAAACATTCAACTTTAAGTCAAAAAGAAATGCTGAGCTATAAAGAGCATATAATAGTAGAACTGGCCAAAGCTATGTTAAAGAATCTGTTTGAGGGGAAATTTTTAAACCTTCTCAGTGCACCCTGAAAGCAAGAAAGGTTTGCTTAGAATTACAGCAAGCAGTGCTGACCTTCTAGTGGGACAGTGCCAGCTGGGTTGGCAGGTGCTGGGGGCACTGCTGCCTCTTTCTCATTGGCTGAGGGTGGAGGTTCTGTAGCCTGGTCAGCTTCAATCATTGCTCCTCTCCAGCTGTGTATTAAAAGTAAACATCTTATACCTGAATTATTTATATCGGTCTCTCTGATATATCTACTGAAGCATGTGTCACTGCCTCCATCCAGCAAAAAAAAAAAAAAAAAAAAAATGTTTGACTACAATCTTTTATCACCTGACAATCTTCTTTTGTTTTTCCTCCTCTTCACCTTCGTCCTCTTGAACCACCTGCTCTTGCTTCTCCCTGCCGACCGTGTCTGAAACATTTGCATCTCTCTGTAGGCTTGGTGGACCTCTTTTGTTTGCAAATATCTTTTTCTGTGAAAACACACATTGCTAGAGCTAAAAACACAAAGGAAAATATAAAAATATCATGGAAAAGGTCTGATGTGGGTCACAGGTTGTACAGGTCCTTCTCAAAAAAATTTGCATATTGTGATAAAGTTCATTATTTTCTGTAATGTACTGATAAACATTAGACTTTCGTATATTTTAGATTCATTACACACAACTGAAGTAGTTCAAGCCTTTTATTGTTTTAATATTGATGATTTTGGCATACAGCTCATGAAAACCCAAAATTCCCATCTCAAAAAATTAGCATATTTCATCCAACCAATAAAAGAAAAGTGTTTTTAATACAAAAAAAGTCAACCTTCAAATAATTATGTTCAGTTATGCACTCACTACTTGGTATTGAGTGCATAACTGTGCATATATCTGTGCACTGTGCATATATCGGTACTTGGGAATCCTTTTGCAGAAAATGACTGTTTCAATGCGGCGTGGCATGGAGGCAATCAGCCTGTGGCACTGCTGAGGTGTTATGGAGGCCCAGGATGCTTCGATAGCGGCCTTAAGCTCATCCAGAGTATTGGGTCTTGCGTCTCTTAACTTTCTCTTCACAATATTCCACAGATTCTCAATGGGGTTCAGGTCAGGAGAGTGGGCAGGCCAATTGAGCACAGTAATACCATGGTCAGTAAACCATTTACCAGTGGTTTTGGCACTGTGAGCAGGTGCCAGGTCATGCTGAAAAATGAAATCTTCATCTCCATAAAGCTTTTCAGCAGATGGAAGCATGAAGTGCTCCAAAATCTCCTGATAGCTAGCTGCATTGACCCTGCCCTTGATAAAACACAGTGACCAACACCAGCAGCTGACATGGCACCCCAGACCATCACTGACTGTGGGTACTTGACACTGGACTTCAGGCATTTTGGCATTTCCCTCTCCCCAATCTTCCTCCACACTCTGGCACCTTGATTTCCGAATGACATGCAAAAGTTGCTTTCATCTGAAAAAAGTACTTTGGACCACTGAGCAACAGTCCAGTGCTGCTTCTCTGTAGCCCAGGTCATGTGCTTTTGCTGCTGTTTCTGGTTCAAAAGTGGCTTGACCTGGGGAATGCGGCCCCTGTAGCCCATTTCCCAGGTCACGCCTGTACACAGTGGCTCTGGATGTTTCTACTCCAGACTCAGTCCACTGCTTCCGCAGGTCCCCCAAGGTCTGGAATCGGTCCTTCTCCACAATCTTCCTCAGGGTCTGGTCACCTCTTCTAGTTGTGCAGCGTTTTCTGCCACACTTTTTCCTTCCCACAGACTTCCCACTGAGGTGCCTTGATACAGCACTCTGGGAACAGCCTATTCGTTCAGAAATTTCTTTCTGTGTCTTACCCTCTTGCTTGAGGGTGTCAATGATGGCCTTCTGGGCAGCAGTCAGGTAGGCAGTCTTACCCATGATTGCGGTTTTGAGTAATGAATAGGGATGGGTATCGTTTAGGTTTTATCCGATACCGATGCCAAATCGGTACTTTTGAAACGGTGCCGATGCTTAAACGGTGCTCAAACCGGTGCTTAAAGAATGGAGAACACATTTTTGGTCCAAAAACCTCTCATGTTCAGCTGGTTTTTGTAAAAAGATAACAATGTTAGCCTTTTCTGCAGCTATGGGGCATATATGGTATCACTCTTGGCTGGAAGCAGTGCTTAAACAATGGAAAAAAACAAACTTTGTCCAAAACCTCTCATGTTTAACTGTTTTCCACTTTTTATTTGGTCATTTTAGCCTTTTTAGCCAGGGTAAAGGGAGTATCTGCCATCAAACAAGAAGACAGCCGCATGTAGCTATGATGATGTTTGCTAGTTCACCTTACCTGCCTTAATGTAATAACGTGGTTAGCCTACTCAACGTAAATTACACATGAACAACATTAAGCTACTCACGCAGAGAAGAACGGCTGCTGCCATCATCACCCGTCATCATTTCTGCTACACTGGCAGGGCTAGGGGCCAGGACTCTCCTCGTCGTGTTTTTGGGGGATGTTGCATAACAGGCAACCCACCCGCAGTAGATGTGCTCGGTGTGAGGTCTCGCAGCAAGCTATCAAATACGGCGCATTTCTGGGCTTTTAAAAAAAACGCTATGCATCGCCAGGTGTTTCATCGGATTTGAGGTGTTTCCTCCTTTGACAGTATCACAGTATCAGCTTAAAGCACTTGTTGCAGGCTGCTGAGTTTGCATATTTTGCTGTGAAGTACAGCCAGACTTTTGACCGCTTCGCCTTGGACATTTTTAATCTGTAGCTCTGCTCTAAAAGAACGTACGTACCTGGACCCGCCTACTATCCTCGGAAACGTAAAATGATTGGCTAGAAGTGTATCACAGCTCAGGAAAAAAAAAGCACCGAAATAAAGCACCGAAATGTGCGCTGCTTTTCGGTCTGGTTACTACCGTTTATGTCAGAACCAGTGCCATCCCTAGTAATGAACCAGGCTGGGAGTTTTTAAAAGCCTCGGGAATCTTTTGCAGGTGTTTATTCGTTGATTCAGATGATTAGGTTAATAGCTTGTTTAGAGAACTTTTTCATGATATGCTAATTTTTTGAGATAGGAATTTTGGGTTTTCATGAGCAAGGCTTGAACTACTTCAGTTGTGTGTAATGAATCTAAAATATATGAAAGTCTAATGTTTATCAGTACATTACAGAAAATAATGAACTTTATCACAATATGCAAATTTTTTGAGAAGGACCTGTATAATACACAACAGATGTATATAGCCAAACCCTAATTTTGAAGAGGAGCATTTTGGTGTTTTGATACGGAATGAGAAAAGGATCTGAGAAACTAAGCACACTGCATGCTCATAGAATAGCAACAAGAACACCCTGCTTTATAGTCCATTTAACTATAAAAAAAGCACCACAATTTTCAAATTAAACATCACATTGCATTAAATATTTACTGAAACAGAAAATTGGGATTATGAAATCAGCGAGAAAGGGCTTATAGAGGTCATAAATGAGTAAGCACAATAAACAATAATTACACAGAAAAAAAATAATTCTACAAAGAAAAAAAAAAAATTACAAGTGTTAAAGCTGGGTAAGTGTTACTAGATATCCAAGAGACATCCACAGGTGTTTTTAGACCAGAGCAAGGTTCAAACGCCAAGTTTCAAAAGCTGAAAGCCAGCACTGAATACCTCAGGCATGAAGACCTGTTTTGTTTTTTTTAATTTCCCCATATTCTTTTCAGGTTTTTTTTGTTGTTTTGTTTGTTTGTTTTATTTATTTATTTATTTTTACCTACCGCAGTTTTAACTGATGCTTCCAAAATAAAGAAGTACAAATTCAACTCTAACCTTAACTGGAGGCTTAACCAATATGGGGATATTTGGTCCTCTGGCTTCTCCTGCAGCATCTGGAACAACAGTTAGCTGCAAATGAGGTCCCCCCACCGGATCTGGAGCTTTACCTGCAGCCTGACCCAACACTGGCTTCACACCTGGAGGAATGGCCTTTAATTCTCTGTCATTCAACTCCAGCCAGTCCTCCTGGTCAGACAAACCTACACAAGCACATGCACACATAAGAAAAGAAGGCCGTCATGATGGTAGCCCAGTAAACTACATTGTAGAGCTATTGCTAAATATTTTAATTATAAACTATGATCACTGTGTCCTGGAGTTGTAATTTTTTTAATCACTGTAAACATGGCAAACACCCAATCCAAATAACCATTTAGCTACATAAAAAGTAAGACCATTAAAATTAATAACAGACTTTTGTCTCTGTGTATGTGATGTTAGCTTAGCATGGAGAGGGAAGTGTTTACCTCTCCAATGTTCTGTGATGCTGCTGTAGGAGAGCAGTCCCAATATGAGCAGCAGAGCCAGCAGGAACAGGATGAGGCTTCGCTGGAGCCGAGACAGCTGCTTCCATTTCTGTGGGCAGATAAACAGTGCTAGCTAAACTGGAACACGTCTAACAGCTCTGAATTTCAATCACAAATGTCTCAAAGGAGGTTGTAATTTCTCCCCAACAAATCTGTTTAGGCTCCTTTTCCAAAAAAAAAAAGTAGGAGCGTAAAAGAAGGAGGCATGATAGTCTTCTTACCCTGTATAAACTCCACATCTCTTTCCGCTTGGTGCAAGTACATTTTCAAATTTCTCATCTAACCAGCTAAACCCTGCAAAGCAGAGGGAGTGAGAAAACCAGCGTCTCTGAGGAGAGAAGGCAACAGGCACCCTGGCACCACTCTGCTCTAATTAACACCTGTGCAACATCATGAAAGCATTGAACCATTGTATGAGCCATGGCCTCAGGAGGCATTTTCATTTCAACATAATGAGGATATTCTGTTCAGCCTAACAGTCCAAAAATTGTGCACTGAAAGCAGTGTTTGAAATCACCAGGAGACTCATGATTCAGTTTTATACTTTTTGACCAAACTGTGACGTTCAGATCTGCAGTCAGAGAACAGACCGTACATAAAATATGGCTGATACTTCCATGACATCACGAATTGGTTACTTAAGTTTAGTTGTGAAGCCTCAAGTTGAACATTTCTGATGGCAACATGTTGTTGTGTTGAAACTCGATGTGATAAGCAAGGGTAGGGGAAAACTGAGAAACCAAGGCTCACTGCTACTTGTCGATAACATGGTAAATCCCTGTGCATCCTCCCCCTTTGAACTGTAATGGAAACCAAAATTTACAAAAACACCATGTTGCATTAACCTACAACTAGCGACTAAGGCCATAAACTCACCCAGAAAGTGTTTACTAAGCTCACAGACAAGAGCCTTCAACTGTTACTGTCATTTTCCTTTTAATTTCCATCCAACTAGAGATCTTTTTGAAAAGAGACGCCCCCTACTGGTCATCAGGAAGAATGCAGATTCAAGGCACTTCACTTTTCAAACACAGAATAAGTTGCACTTCTATAGTGCTGGAGTCAAATGCTCCAAACCTATGGGATAAAAACATTCATAGAAATGGAATCCTATTGTGGCAACACTGGAAGAGAGGCAGGATTCATCCTGAGCAGATCAATCGTTCATCATATGGAGACAGACAACCATTATGCTCATTTACACACCTATAGTGCCATGACTTGTTCCCTACCAGATTTCTTAGTCTCTTACATATTTGTCACACACAACCAGTTCTCAAAGGAGACCTATCATTTTCCCTTATTTTCTCTTACCATGACAAACTGTCATCTTAAATACAGCCAGAGTTTCACATAAGGTCTACAGCACAGACCCACGTGCCATTTAAAACTTCTATTTACGAGGGGCAACCAATCAGAAGAAAACTGGCTAAAAGGAAGGGAGCTAAAACGGCTCTTTTCAATTAGAGGATGAACCAGTTTAACATACATTAAAAAAGAAAGCATTATTAAGCATGAATTAACACCTTTACATAACATAGCTTAAATGGATGGATTGACCAATTCCAAATTCATGTACAACTATAAAATCAGCGCAAAATCCGTTCCTGACAGTCTGCAATGAGATACCCCTCCAGCAAACCGGGGAATAAATTTAAGACCTCTGTAAATGCAATTTATGGCTTTTTGTACCCTCTTAAGCTTTTTTCTGAGAAAATTTAATTCAGTGCTCTAATAGCAGGAGATTGATGTTAAACTACCCTACCCTTCTCAAAGTTCATATAACACAATGAACAAAAGCCAGTCATTCAATGACCTCATCTGCAGAGAGAGAGGAGGAAAAGTATGAAATTCACTGCTTCCCACCTGTTACGTGTGCTTTTAGAAATGTAGGAAAAACACCCACTATGATTGAAACAAGGGCAGAGCACTTATTGAAGTCCCTTGTGCAGTGTGAGAAGCAAGCATTGAGCTCATCAGAGGAACATGATTTGCAGAGAACGGTTTTCTCAGGAACCATAAACTGTCATTAAATTTGACGATCCACAGGTACAAGTCGACAGTCCCTGCTTCTTTAAGAACAGGTTTTATAGAAGAAATGTCAGATGACATACTGCTGAACTAAAACATTACAGATTAGTCGATAAGAGCAGTCATTTGCCTTTCCAGTTCAGAGGACAAAATTAATTCCATTTACAAGAGCCAACCGTGCAGTTAAAAAGTGAAGGAAAGTAATCACACAGCGTTTATTACAGAAGCATTTTTGCTTATGATCTGGACATCTGTAGAATTTCTTTTACCAGATTATCACAATCCTTTTTATAGCATTCAATAACAGCAACTAAGGCTGTTAAAAACTGAATGCAAAATTGATTCTGTGCATTATGGCAAAATAAAAGCGGACATTGATTGGAGAACTGAATGTTGAGGCCAAGTCGAACACTGTTTAAAATGAAGCAGATTTGTTGGGAAAAATCATTTGCATTTGCAGATTCCTATGAGTGTATATGGATCTCAAGGGTTCAATTTGTCAGCAGTCATCTTGAAATGCTTCTGGATAGTTATTTTGAAGTCTTATTTAAATTAAAAATTTTCTTCCAGAGCTATTTTACTTTTAATTCTGTGAAGCTGTTTTTGTATTATTTTTGTATTATATCCAGTTTTGTTTTTGTTGCAATTTTAATAGAGAGTGTGTGTGTGTGTGTGTGTGTGTTCCTTTCTTTTGTATAGTTTTTAAATGACTGAGATATATTTGGGGGGTTTTTCATATTGAAATTATATACAGCAAAAAATTGAAGGAACACTTTAAACACATCAGATCTTCTTCAGGTTCCAGGTTTCGCCTCATGTGACACAAAACCTAGCTAAATGGAAAACTAGTGGGAAAACACACAAAACAAACAAAAAAACAGGAGGAAACAGTGTCAATGGCTTCCACCATCAGGGACAATTTTTCAGTAATGCATTTTATTGAGTCATTCTATTTTATTTCATTAATTTTCCTTTATTTATCCAGGTAAAAGTCTAATTGAGTTTAAAATCTCTTTTCAAAGAGCGACCAGGCCAAAGTGCAGCAGAAGTTACAACAAATAACAATATAAAAATATTATATTTATTTATATATTTATACAGTTTGGCTACTGTAACAGTAATTTCCAACTTTTAAGACAAATGAAGCATAGCTTATCTTAGGCTACGTTCACACTGCAGGCGAAAGCGCATCAAATCCGATTTTTTTGACCCTATGCGACCCATATCCGATTATGGTCTGACAGTGTGAACGGCACAAATCGGATATTTTCAAATCCGATCTGGGTCACTTTCGTATGTGGTACTGAATCCGATACATATCCGATGTTTTAGAAAGCGACTGCTGTGTGAACGGTCAGGTCGCATTAAATCCGTCTGTTACGTCACTGACACGAGACAGACGCCAATTATCAGCGCCGGAGAAGACAAACCAAAAAAGCATGGCGGCGGAAACTGGAGACGGAGCGGGTCAGTGGACCGAAACTGAGGTTGCGGAATTGATTAGCATATGGGGAGACAATTCTATCCAAGCTAAACTTGAAGGGTCGTATCGCAACCGGGCTGTGTTCGAGTGCATTGCCAAAGAAATGATTGGACGAGGGCACAGGCGAACGTGGCTACAGTGTCAGAGGAAAGTCAAGAGCCTCAGAGCCAAGTTTAAAGAAGCTAAAGATATAAACAAACGAAGCGGACGTGGTCGAGTCACCTGCCCGTTTTATGATGAGCTTGACCGTATTTTGGGGGACAAACCCAGCTGTCAGCCAATAGAGCTGATCGATAGCTCCATTGAAACAGCTGAAGAGGAGCCTGAAAGTCCAGGGGCTAGCGCCAGTCCAGCTCCCAGCCTCAACAGTGAAAAAGGTAGGCTAACTTGTTGTAGTCATGTGTGGAGAATAAAACTAAGTACAAGTAACGTTACATTAAACGTACTGTATAACACATGTCTAAACATAACAGAACTGAATAAATTACTGAACAAAAATTGAAAACATTCTATATGACAGCAATAGCGTAATTCTAAATGAAGGCTGAACTACATCAGCTGTAACCATGTATATAACTTTTTAATAGGTTGTATGGTTGTATTTTCTAAAGGCGCCTGTACACTGGGTGAGGATACTCCTGTGTCACTGACATTTGATTCTGCATCAGAGGAAAGTTCTTCATCTGCAGTGAGTGCAGATAATTCCATAAAGAAGAATGCACAAACCAGAAGTAAGTAACCCATATATCAAATAGAACATTGTTGTTGCAAACTTTTCATCATCACATTGAATAAAAACGTTTTTTCTAAGTAAGGTGTCATGTCGAGACCTCACAAGGCAAAATAATGAGTTAAATTTTACTCTAGATGTCTAAGCATGGATAAAGCACACATATCTTTTAATTAATACTACTCATTTTGTCAATGAGAGGGAAGGGTGAGATTGTAATGTAAGACATGCTGTAGATTGTACAATGTTTTTTAAATAAAAACCACGAGTTGACTCAAATGATCAAATACCCCAGTCTTAATTTCTGACCTGTACTGATATGGTGATGTTCTAATTTCTCCAAGGTGTGTACCAGAACTGCATATGGAAATTCCCTCTGTCCTTCAAACATAAAAATTATCCTTTTGTTGAAATAACACAAACAACTATTCCCTTTACAGATACATCTGCCAAGAGCAGGAAGAGAAAGTCAAAGATGGAGTCAACTTTGGAAATATTTGCGGACAAGATTACAAGCGCCTTGAAGAATGATGAGTCGGAGCTTCTGTTGAAGATGCAAGCAGCTCAGCATGAGCATGATCTTAAAGTGCTGTCCATGTTGACCCAGCTCATCACACGCCAACAACCACCTTTCTACCAGCAGGCAGTACAGGCTCCACATCTTTACTGCCCAACACAGTCTTCACTCATCCATTCCCCTCCATACCCCATGGCTTCATCTCAGTCTCCACTATTTGAGATGTCCAATCAGTCTCTGTCTTTCCAACAAGATTTAGCTCAACCTCTTCCTTTTGGTAATGCCCTT